ATAATGAATGTAGATCCTGGAGGTGCTGTTGCTTTCGGTTGGGAAAGGCCGCTCAGTGACCATGTTCAATTTGGAGGAGTTCAGCTGTTCTTCTGTCATAAAAGGGAAGCTGGGTACTCTAAGAGAATAGTTTACCTCTTCCAAGTCTTCCCCTCATCCATCAGTACTATCCCTGGAGCTTAGTTCTGATTGATGTAAATGGTGAGTAAACAATTCAAGCTACTGCAGATGAAGAAATCTTGTTTTAGAGCTTTACTTGCTGTCCTGAACCTAAATTAATAGCATGGGTCGTTGGCTTTTTCAGGTTCTGTGTCATTTTTCAGAAAACTGTTCTGACTCTTTGAGGTCAACTTGAAACAGTTGAAGAAATATAGGAAAATAAGCTAAATACATAGTGGTGGTGTGCGTGGGGGCGTGTGTGGGATAAAATACACGATAGGGGCTGGCTGCTAGGTTGTAGTGATGTTAGTAGCAGCAACACACCAACTGGATGAGTAATAGACCCCAGTGCACAGGAGGAATACTAGGGCCTCTGTGAGTCCCGTGTGCATGTGGGAGCTGAGGAGTGAGATTTTTGGCTGACTGTCCAGCAAGGAGGTCAGACTTGTCAACAACTCTGAATGCCAAGCCAGCTACCATTGGGACATACCAAGCACGGCTGCTCAGAAATGGGAAGCTAGTTTTTGCCTGTTGTTCCAAAGATTACTCTCCTCTGTTTCCTTTCCAGGGTCTGTTGGAATAGAAGCTGCAGGTTAGTCTCACCTGAGAATTTCCTCAGAATTCTTAAACGTACGCTGTCTTAAAAATCTGCTACGAATTCTCTGTTACTTTCTGCTAAGCCTCCAGTTCCTTCAGTACGTCTGGTGTAGGAGGCCAAAGGGGATTTCAGCCTTCCCAGGTGCCCCGATCTAAGTGAGCACTGTTACACCTGAGAGGAAGTCTCCCACGCCCCCAGCAATGAAAGTGATTTTGCAGAGTTTACACAGAAGCCAGCTTCGGAAACTAACGTTGCCTACTGTCTTTCTCACCCTACTTAGAGCACTCCATCTGTGACCTGCCTAACCAAGGTGGAGATGACTAATTACAGCAGTGTTTCTCACCCTTTTTGATGGGAAGGCACAGTGAAAAGGCATTTGACCTTGCAACCTGATGGTACTACTTCCAGTACACCCTGCCAGTCTCTCTCTTTTCTTTCTTTTTCTTTTTGAATGCTGGTTGTGACTTCCTAACTGGTGCTGGCAGTTTTAAAACCTATGCCACAGGGGAGATGATGTTCCCAGTACCAATGATCACCAAAGTCTCTGTGGGGCTCAGCTCTGATCTCTGTGCCTCCCTGGACTTTTTGCATGCCTGGCCTTTGCAGTTGTCACTCTAACATGGAGTAATCTTGGGGGATGGGAAATAGAGCTGGATGCAAAAGGCTTGAAGTCCGAAGGAGGCCCCACAGTCAAGGTTAGGAGGGTACTGCAGGGTGCTCTCAGTGTGTGCACGTGCTTTCATATCAGGTGCAAAGCGTGGGGGACTTGAGGATGAGGCCTTTACGCACAGAAGCGGGGCCTTTGCCCTGAGGCTTCAGATGTGGGCTCAGCCACGCTGGACCATGTGGAGCCTGCGTTGTCCTTTCCCTGTCAATCTATAGAAAGCCCTGGAGACCAGTGGGTCAACCCTGAGGGGAGAGCCTACTTCTTCAGGCTGAAGGTTGTGTCTTAGTTGTGGTTAGCAAGGGGACAGAATCCTTCAGGGAGGAAGAGGCTGTCTCCTAGTTGTGGAAGAAGAGGGAGGAGAGGACATGTGACTGGCTGAGCCTTCTGACCCCCAGTTCTTCTCGAGTGACTAGCCGTCTGATCGAAAGAAGGCTCTACCTCCAGCATGGTTTTTTCCACCAACATCCAGAGAACACCTAGTAGGTGTCAGACGCTAACCTGGGTGCCGAGGGTGAGCCATCTGCAACATCATGCCTTGTGTCGCAGAGTTCACAGTGTAATTGGGGGCGACAGTTACATAAAAGTTTCAGTACAGGAAAATGGGTGGAGGGAAGTGCTGTGGTAATACAGATAAGAAACACCTTTGGTGAGGGTGGCCCGGGTTCAGACTTCCCGAGACAGACACAGAGCTCCGCAGGATTAGCGGACTTGTTAGCAAGGGCAGGAGGGCCTGCGGGGCGCAGCACTGCCGCTGCCAACGCCGGTCCGTCTGAAACAGCAGGTGGGGCCGGGCTTTCAGCCAGTTATTTGGTATTGTGGACTCACGGAGAGCACCTGAAGGGTTTGAAGAGCTCAGTCTCGTGGTTAAATCTGAGTTTTCGAAAGGTCCCTCTGACTGGAGAGTAGAGGAGGGGTTGGCCGGGGTCATTTAGGCTGCTGCTCTGGTCTGGGTGAGAAGTGACGACGACATGAAGGGGTGAAGAGAGATTTAGAAGCAGCGGCTCACAGGGTTAAATAACCGGACAGGGGACGGAGGAAGAGGAAGCCTTTCAGGTTTCTGGCACAGACGCATGAGGTACAGGCCGACACAAATAAGGAGAGAGCGGAATCAGCAGTTTTAGAGGAGAAGATAGTGGGATGGGTTAGAAATCGCGGCGGAGCACCCTCAGGGGTCAGGTCATTACTTCTCTGTGTATAGAGGGTGTCCCAGAAAAATGTATACACACTTTAACCGCTGGTAACTCACTTGATTTTCACTGCTTTTCAGGTTTAACTGATTTGAAATAATGGGTGAAGCCAGACTAAGCTTTGAACAAAGAAAGTTTATCCTAAAGTGCCCCTAGGCTTTTTTTAATGGGGATACTTGAAAGA